GCGAGACGAGATGGAAAAGGGAAGAGACCACCTTGCACTCAAATCCATCGCCGCCGGTGGTCAATATGCCCAGAACTGCACAACTTCTACCGCGGCCTCCTGCAACGAGCAGACCCTCCGGCCGCCTCCTTGCCATGGCTGACGACAAGGTGATCAGGTAAAGAGTTTTTTTACCACTATCTCTCTGGCATAAGCATTTGTCTTGGTGAAGCACCTTGGCAGCTCTTCCCTTGCTCATCATTTTCTACCGACTTCTAACAAGAGAAGTGTGTGTTGCATCTTCATGACATTGTAGAAGTGTGTGTTGCATCTTCATGACATTGTAAAGGGATAACACTGTTCATCTGATATGTGTGTTTCGTGCTATTGGACCGTACTTCGGAAAGTGCTATTGGACCATACTTCGGAAAGAAGCTGGACCTAGAGCTTATATATGGCAAGAAGTGGCAGTGCTCGAAGGAGGCTGCCCTGGACTCAAGTACTGTGAGCACTACATACCCCTTAGATCTCAGGTGATTGTTCATTCTTTTTTTCTCAAATGCCATATTTCAGTGGCATGTTATATACTCTTTGATTTTCTAAAAAAAGTACAATTGTCTAACTGATTGGTGTGATTGGTTAATTATCGTGTTACGTACTTACATTTGTTTGCTTCAGTGGCAATTGAACCATCAGTTCATGCTCATTTGATGCTACAAATATTTGATTTGTAAATCATCTATTTGATTCTAATCCATGTGAGAATCATAACAAATTAATTGCTCCTGAACTGATCTTCTATGTTAGGTGTTAGATTTGAAATGACCAAATTTGTACATGTATTTTTTTACATGTACATGTCAAATGATTTTGTGGGAGTAAGGGTGTGTCCCTAAGGTATTATTTATCTGTGACTATGTCTTTGTAATTGGTTGATTACATTGCCAATAGAATTTTTCAAAATTAAGAGTTTGTTATGCCACACCTCTCTGCTACTTCATCCTATTTTTGTTTTTATCATAGATTGGACCATTGATATTATCCATGGCAATCACTTCAATTTTTATGGTTTCTCATGGTTAATGTGGTTCATTTTCTTTTGTGACTTGATTTGCTCTCAACCTAAGGCATCAATTATCATGTAGGTACTACATAGCGTTATATCACACTTACATGTGTTTGTCCGTCAATATATTGTTTATAATAGCTTAAGCATTATGGCAAGGACCGTTAATTTTTATGTATGATTCCTGATCAGTTAGGAAGTCCTATACTCCTAGAGGTGATATATCAGTCAATATGTTGTTTTTTGATAGAGAGGGGTGACTGAGCAACTAGGCAAGCATCTGAATATTGATATGCTCTGTTGTGATCAAAAGCACATAGCCCTCTGCCAGATAATCTAACCATGATGCTCTGATGTGATCAAAAGCCCATAACCCACTACTATGTTTTACTACTTTCATATTAATGGAGATACCAGCTGCATGGAGTGGTATTGTGGTTTCTCAGCCATGGCAATGTGGGCATGTAAACAGTTGCCACATGAGCTGCACATTTTCTATCTCTTTTTGTGCATATGTTAGATTAATGAAGGAAGATACACACAACATCTGGCTGGCCCCTGTTGTTGGTTTGAGAATAGTGGTTTCTCTTAGATGATAATGAGATTACAATTGGTTTTTGGACCCTAACATGATTGCATTAAGTTGTCATAAATAATCGAAGTATTTGCTATAGTTTCTTTTAGAGTTTATGTCAATATCAAAACAAAAATGTACTCTTTAGTTCTTTATACTTGATATGTACATGCTTCTGAAATTAAAGTTTGGGTGTGATCGTCTGAATCACTGGTTACTGCATATTGCAAACATGTTGACAATTATGGAACAGCTCATCACTGAATGCATAATGATGCTTTTGTTGTTATTCTGCAGCAGTGCTCGTTAGTCCTTACTTTATTTAGCAAAGAAGAGGGCCTTTGACATTTTATTGCTTAGTGATATGAGTTTAATCATTTCTACTGAAGCAGAAGATTATGCTCTACTAAATGCTTCTCTTGTAGTTCTATTTGCTGATGCTGTCAAAGGATCTCTGCTATCTACTAATATATATAGTGCAAACAAGGACATTGGAATTGATCTTCCATTTACTGTCATCTGTTAGATGAGAACGTTGCAGGTTATGTCTTCGAGGTCATCAGGTTATTAGGTATGAGGAACCATCTTCTGCAGTCATTAAATGTTTCACAATTTCTAACCCAGTTGTTATATGTTTCAGGGAATAATGAACCGCTGATCATTGCCTCTATTCAAGTAATTTTTATAAGCATCATTTACATAGTTGTGATGTGATTTTTTGGATAAATTTGGTTCTGTGGCATATCTTCCATGGCTTCTGCGTGCCTTTTTGATAAAACTTATTATGTGACATATCTTCCATGGCTTATGTTCCCTGTTTTCACAATCTAATCGAGCAGCAAAGCCTGAAGGATATGCAGCAAATAACCAGTTTTTCTTCAACAACTATTGATTTTTCAAAATGGCATTAAATTTGCATACTTTATATAATTAAATTGGTCATTGATGGTTTTGTAGTAATTCTTTACTTGGTCTTAGAATGTACTGAAATATTCTTCTTTTCCCGTTTAATTAATATTTTAGTTCCTTGGTAATTATAATTATAGAGTGTGATTTAAAAATTTGAAGAAATGAAGAGTTGAACAGGGTGAAATGCTTTGCATGAACATTACTTTAGGCTTCAGACCTTCAGTTCCATGTTGTTTGTTTGTAAAGAGATTCAAATTTTAGAATGTGTAGTGCTGGAATAATGAAAATATATGTTATATATGAAGGCCACTGTTTCATTGAGTTGTTAAAGGAGTAGGGTAGAGACAGTACAGAGTTGTTGGCATGGAAAGCAAATGAGGGTGCTGAGCAAGACTCACCTCGGAAGGCAAGGTCCAAACACATATGTTACATCCAGCCTATGTTTTTTTTATTACAAATGGAAATTATATTTTTAGTTGATCAGAAGATAGCTTTGGGTATATTTGGGACCTGTAAGTATGAAGTATTCTTTACAAATTTGAAGGCCATACTGATACTGTTGATCATCTCAGTTTCCTATTGGTCAGAACAAATTTAAATATGGTCAATGGTGAGAGATAAGATCTGAAATTGCTACTGTTTGTCCTATGAGTGTTGAATTATATTTTTTGTTTTTTCATTATTAGATGGGAGTACAATCTAATCTATTCTGTAATGGTACAATGATCACTTGTAGCTATTTGTATCTAGATGAACGTTTGTAGCTTTCATCGTATATTGTACCTAAATTAATGTGAGTTGAGGCAAAGTTGGTGTTATTTTTTCCCGTTGCAAAGCACGGGCACCCAACTAGTTGATATATAAAAACTACAGCATGATGAAACATGTCTCTCTCTTTCATCATCATATATTATATATCTCTCACATGAAAGACATTTCATGATTGCCTACAAGTTATATAATTCATATATTTGCTAACACACTTGGAAAGTAACAATGGGAACATAGAAAAAACATATATGTGCATTTTTTACTTAGCTCTGAAATTTCAATTTCGAATTTATCTTCGATCAATTAGATAATGGAATTGGCATGCAGCCCAATTTCTGTATCGCCCCAATCATCACGTGAATATATAGTTTGCCAATGAATTTACCATGGGAACGAAATATCGGAGCTGACACTACAATAATTGTCATACGATCTATTTTATCAACATTCTCCAATGTAATGATATCATCATTAAAATCATAAGTTAGATTGAAATATTTTTTAGTTCGACCTATATCTTTATTTACACAATCTAAAGCACCACATGATACAACCGTCACTTTTCCTTTTTAAAAACCCTAGAATACACTCTAATTCATGCATCGGTGATTTAGCATTGTATGTAATTTTGTCCCCATTATTGTACCAACTATGTGAATAATATCGTGATCTAATTTACATTTAAAATTTGTGTTTATGTGAACCTAAAAAAAGAACAACTGCTGCAGTTGGAATCAATTTCAAACCAAACGTGAGTGATAAAAGCGGATTAATTATGTTTAAGTACATTTACTTATGCATTTGAATTTTATTTGGATAATAATTTTGAAAAATTAAATAAATTTTCTAGAATTTATATGGTATGTTTAGTAATGTAAATTTTCAGGCAACATCAGACCATGCAACTGTTATATTAGAATAAACTGCATCCAATCAACGTGTTGTATATTATATATCCAAGTCTAAATTTATGATATCTTTATATCCTAAACTCCACAACCTATTGCAACCGTCATGGGATAATAATAATTTTCCAAGTCTAAACTACTAATGTATTGTATAAACCAATGGGGAACAATATATATAGTGCTCTATGATCATTGGATTCATAACGAGTGTTGATTTTTAATTTATCCATAATATATAACCCAAAAAAAAAACCCACCCATCAGTATAATTTGAGTAATCCTATAAACTTATATAGTTCATCCTCACTAAGTGTAGTTAATGCTATTTCTCTCTTCTCTCATTAAGCCACATCACCCTAATTATTTCTAGCCACTGAATGATAAATCTATGGTTCAAATTGTCTCTTCTTTCTTCTCTCATAACACCAAGTAATCTCAATCACTTTTAGGCTTCAAAATTCATAAGTATCAATTTGTTTTAGTTTTAATATTCATATTTCATCTTATTTGAACATATTATGCAACTTAATTTCCCGCAGCAATGCGGCGGGGCATTCATCTAGTTGATCTACTGGATGTTACCCGCACATCAACATCAACAGAGCTAAGTGGATCGAAAACTAATAGTAGATGTCAGCAAACAGAATGGATGCACTACCAGCTAAAACAAAAACAGAGCAAAAAAATGTAAGATCTGTGTACTAATAAAAAAACTTTAAAGGACGACAACAAAAGGCAACATATATTTATAATCATTTGCATCCAACATGATAACTATTGATGTGTAGCTTCCCTGAAGACAAATTTCATATATAGAACTTGAAAGCAAGGTCGCCATATAATAAACACTATAGTTTGGCAAGGACGACAGATAAGGGAAAAGTCACTTTTAATCTTTGTGGGGATTCAGGAGTACATCACTTACTGAGAACATATATGATGTGATACTTGTCTATTCTAATCTTACCAAGAACACATGTAGGTATTGCTTAACTGATCAAACATGCTGGCAAGAAATGCTCTAGGTGGCTTCATCGTGATTATAGCAAAAGATTTTTTTTGCCCTTCAAAGTAATCAAGTGTTTACAGTAGATGAGCATTTGTTTCTTTTAGAAGTTTGGATCTGCATAAGAGCACATAAAAAATCTCAATCAGCTACAATATAAGTGTATATGGAAAGAGGATACCCAAGACATTGAGGTAGATTTAATCTAGAAGGGCATTGATTATCCTCATAAGGATATGACTAAAGCATAATAACATTTAAGTTCAGCAAAGAGCAATATAAGTAAAATCTGAAGCAAGGAAAGGTTATAGTTTCATACATGCCATGTAACTTGTGCAATATTTTTAGGAAATTAGATAAATCACATATATATTATCTAAGCTATTGTAAATGGACAGACCATATATATGTACAACTGTCTCCAATTCTGAGGGGTACACTTTTTTTAAGAAATCTGGAATCACAGATATATAGAACAATAGTAATTTTCAAACGCGAGCTATTATGTCATAAATTGATCCAAAATGGAATGGTATGATGAGCATTTGTCAACGAGCTTTAACACCAATCAGCATGGTGAACATTCATGAGTGAGCCTCTGTTGTGATAGCACGAACCAAGCTATGAGATGTAATCAGATTAAACTGAGATCTATAGCCTGTTCATCAAAGCTAATCCACATCAGCGGGAGCAATGCATTTGCTGCGAAGCATATAATTACAACAAAAAGAAATGTAGCAAAAAAATAAATGCATAGAAGAGAGCCTAGAAATTAACTTACAAAGATGCTTAGTTCATGGAGTTAGAAAGGCATGGGTGGTTGATGACGAACCTACGCATACCATCTCCCAGATTAGCAAGTATTAAAATCACCTAACAGGTAGCACCACCAAGTAAAACCATAGAGAATAAAAAGCAAAGGAAATTAAGTGATACATACTCTGCCTTGAGGATGCCAGCATACATGCGTTACGCTTCTTGCGTGATTGAGCAGCTGTCGCAGAATCTGGCCGCGGGAAATCTAATCAAGGACATAAGTGTTATCGTCATGAACTCATGATCAATGCAATAAAGTCGGTATAAAAGCGGTGAAACATAATAATGTTCATTGACATTACAACGCAGCAGGTCGAATATGTGGCCATAGCATGTACGCGTATGCATCATATAGTGCAGGTAGACAAGGGCAATATACATGGCACAAAAGGTGCGGCATGGCAATTATACCGATGGGCTGAGCAGACAACTTCCGCCGCACAGAACGTCTAGAAGGCAAATGAAAATCCATAGGAAAGATGTCATCACCACCCGATAGTGCAACAACTTGGAGTGCATGAAGGTAGAAAAAGAAATTATTTCATTATCTGTATAAGTTATGCAGGTTGGTGTTATAAATAAGTAGAACTTGATTGTAATAAGTAAGCGAAAGCTATGCAACTAATTTAAAACATGTTGGTGAATCGGTAAAGGTATATTGCCAGCGCCGGCGGCACACATTAGGAACCGGTGTATCATTAGATGTAGACATCACAATACCTGATTAGGACAATGATAGTGAGAAAAGATAGTTAGGGAAAAAACAAATCAATGCAGCCTCGAATGATTTTTTTTTCATTATACCCAAATCACGCAGGTGGCACATAGGTGCTGAATAAGTTTGGTGTTTCAAGAGGGAAATTAGGGAGCACGTGTATAATATATAGCACACAATCGACGGAGTGCAAAAAAATAGGGTGGGGGAGGGGGGAAGCCACCCAAACAAGCATTATTATAAAGGTTAATCTTGCAGTATTTTTGCACCCATAATTGTAACCTAGTATAGCAGCTCATCCAAATTCTTGAAGAAGAAAGGTAAGATGAATGGCACCGCCGAGCTCGGCAATCTTGACATACCTATCTGGCTGCACAATGGTAGGTAGATTAGTTATACTATGATAATCTAATCAAAAAATGGCCAGCAGATAATTGGGTGGGAAAAACACTGCATAGTATTCTAGCAGAACAATAAGATGCATATGTAGAATAAAAAGGCTACCTGAATTTGTATAAAAAATTTGAAGACCAAATCAGAGTAAATGACAACATAACCCGATTTCGATGTGATCTAAATATACTGCAACAACGCAGACTACTTCAGACATTATGTTGGCCTGTGGTACCTGCCATAGCTAGTGTCACGTTCTGCTCTAACTGAACCATGTGGTTAAAGAGATCACATAGAGCTACAATTTGTTGTGAGGCAACCGAAATTAAGCGAAATCAATATTTTGGCAATATGTGTGGTGGCGACAATGTTTACTGAGCTAACACGTACACATATAATAGATACCTGTAGACTATGATTGTGGAGCAGTTGATCAAGCAGGGACATATGCCATACAGGTATTTGGTTCAAATAGCTGACGATAAATCACACGATGCTAGCACAGAAGTGACCAAACTGGAGATGTCCAACTGCATTCGGAGTACCACAGGTTGGCTGGACGGGCTAGTATGCATCCAATCCAAATCAAGATTATGCCTATTTTATAAAGAAGATGACGGGGAGGGTTAAGAGAAGCAGAACCATACCTATAGCCTTTTCCTGTTTGAGCTCACTGTGTCGTGGGAGACGACGGCGTTGTATTGGCCGGCGAACTTGTCCATCCTGTACGGGCATGGAGAGCCAGGACATGGGGAAGCATAATATCTGGCAGTTCAACCATGAGTGCTAGGTACCCTTCATGTAAATTGAGGGGTCCTTTCAAATGGAGGACTTTAGATACCTTATAATTTTCTCTCTCGAATTCATGAGAAACACAATTTAGTCTCTTTGTTTTCATAGGAAAAAGAAAAAAATATCCAGTCCAATCTATTTGCAAGAAATCATGTGTGCGAAGAAAAAGGACGTGGGAATGTGATACCAGTGGGTAGTATTTAGTCCATAACCAAATTAGATTACTAATTTCTTTAATTCGTGTGTTCCAAACACCACATTCTTTAGAATTCATGTAGTATTTAGTCCATAACCAAATTAGATTACTAATTTCTTTAATTCGTGTGTTCCAAACAACATATTCTTTAGAATTCATGTGTTTTCTATTCCTCTATTTGACATGTACAATCCTACCTATTCCTATGTTTTTTTATATCTATGTGTTTTTTCTATGTTGTGCTCCAATGGAGCCTAGCGTTATCAGAGAGGTGGCATGATTGAAAGTTTGAAACCCCTATGTATGACCTTTTATGGTGTTTTTGAGGTACTTAGAGGAATGTACTTGGAGGTGGAACAATTAGCACCGTTGATCAAAAGAGGGGTATGGTAGAGAATAATATTATTTTAACACGATGGTAGTAGAGTAATTAACTAGTAAAATATGGGCATTATATGTGAATTGAATGCCTACATCAATTAATCGGTATATCGTCGTAGTGATTTGTACTGTTGCAGAGACAACGTAAATCATGGATACCCATTGATTTAGCAGCGATCAATTCGATCTATACCAAAAAATACTCACATCACGTCTCGCTTCTTCTCTCCCTAAGTTTCATTCTTTTTGGAGGGTTTGAACTGGTTCATTGGAAAGAGACAGATGGTGAAGCGTCTCTTGTTTGAGGGTTGAAGAGGAGACGGGATCGGCCAATCGATGGCTTGGCGCAAGCCTATTGATAAATTATACTACGGTTATTTATGCATATGATTTGGGAGATGATTTTGCCATTTTTGCTCTACTAGCAAAATTATGTTTTTACCCTTAAATACCTTTACCAATACTTAAATACCTTCTACATTTTATCTGTGATTGAGGAACGTTCGATCTTTACCTTTTTTAATACGAACACCATCAAAATTCCTATGGTATTCACGCTCTCCATGTGCAAGAAACATATTGTGTTATTAGTAGTCTTGTTGCTCGCCACAGACTAAGAACAAAGCACGCATGAGTTTTTGAAAAAAGGCCAGCTTTTACAATATGAATTGGTCCACAACTCCAACGGTGTTATTCCGCTTTGACAAACAGAAAGCTACAATACGACATAACCTGGCTTATGCCAAATACACTAATCGGCATGCTTTTCACTACCCTAGCTTGTATGATGATGGAAACAGACTGGGCAAGAATTTGTTCTAAGACGAGTTGATGAGGACCCACTCCACCAATGTGGACACGCCGAATCCGGTGGCTTCTTGCTTTTTGTAGTTCCAAACCGGCCCAGCCATGTCAACGTGCATCCACTTCACTTTCTCATCAACAAACTGCAAAGAAAAAAGCATCAGCATTTATATATATACCCTGAAAATTATGTCAAAAACATTGAACTGGAGCTAATGATTTTGTCAATTTTAGAGACAAGGAATTGGGGCTTGATCTCGATCAATTACTTTGGCTCTAAATGACATATATATTGTGTACATAAGTGATGAGAAATTGCTCTGATACATTTAACATAAACTATCTCACATTTACCCTTAACAAATTTGACAGTTCAAGAGTACTATTTTGTTTCTAGTAAATACTTTTTCATATATAGCCATGTAATGGCAGCATTAAGACCTGGGAATGTATAAAGAGCCTCGTTTTCCATTAATTCACCATAATTATGTTGATATTTTTTATCATTTGGATGATTGCAGTAGTTTGTCTACCCATTTTATTGTTTTAAGATGCATGATGTTGCTGACGATCAGTGCAGGTATGTAAATATACTGTTTGAGACGAACAGAACTATTAAAGTAGTCCATTGTTTTTACTTACTGATGACGACGAATTTGTCAACTAGATTTACTTTTGTAAACCCAACATTGTTTTTCTTTTTCTAGCAGAATGTGGCTACATTCATCACTTCATTTCAGTTTCGACGTAATTTCAATTCATTCTGTCTTTGTTGAGAAATTTTGGTTTGGTTTAAGTTTGAAAGCAATTTTCCGTGTTCTATACCATCCTTCAACGCTTTTAAATGCAACTTTTTCCGTACGAAAACCTAATTTTCTAGCAGAATTTTGCCTAGACAAAATGATGGCTGCTCAGACAAATTTCATCTTGGCCCACGGGTAATGTATCCTATAAAATACAAACTGCCTAGACGCTCCATTTATATCATATGGTTTACATTTTTTACGATACTCCACGAAAGGATGCACAGATAATTTCTTTCTCGGTTCATAAGAAAGAGAAAATAATATACCTGCTTCAGAAATAGTCCAGCCGTAATTGCACCACCCAGCGGACTACCGGTGTTAAGCATATCAGCAACGCTAGACTTCATTTGCTCCCAATAGCTTTCTTCTAGTGGCAGTCTCCAGAACTTCTCTCCTGATGCCTCATATGCGGCAGCGACTTCCTTGTCCAGTTCATCACTTGGAGTCAAAATCCCTGTAAAAATATTTCTCTTAGTATGCTGAAGAACAATGTACTACCCACTATTCCTTCTTGTAAGCACTCAAAATTTACCATACTTATTAACGGAGAAGATTACAGAAGAGATATTATATTTGATCTTACCAGCAATGCTAGGACCAAGTGCAATTCTGCAGTAACCAGTAAGTGTTGCCAGATCAATAATCTGCTTGCATAATTAAAGATAGGTAAGTAGCGTGAGCAACACTCTCTATAAGATGGACCAAGAAGTGAAAACCATACTTTGCATAACCGAAAAAAAGAGAGACAATTTTCCTATATTTTGGTGGATCGACAAGAACAATGAGCTGTTTAAATTATTGTGTGATAATCCCTATATTTTGGTTCTTGTGCTTCCTTGCAGCGCAAAATATTTTTCCAGTCCAAACAGGGCTTTATAAATGACTTGTTTCTAAAGAGTTAATGGTGGCAGGGCTAAAAAGTTTACAACCAACAATAGCAATGTCCTATACAAATTTTCAAATATGGAACTTCACAGATGGCAGTCATATCAATAGAACACGAGCAACTTTCAAAATTAACTCATTACCTTGTCAACACCCAGTTTACAGGCATATACCAAAGCATCAGCAAGTGTAAGCCTTCCTTCTGCATCAGTGTTGTCCACCTGAACAAAGTGATAGACAAGAACTGGACGATAAGAACAGTGTGATCTTAGCATTACTGATAATTGAGAAGCAGGATAAGCATCACAATATTACTCCCTCCGTTTCACAATGTAAGTCATTCTAGTATTTTCCACATTCATATTAATGTTAATGAATCTAGACATATATATCTATCTAGATTCATTAGCATCAATGTGAATGTGAAAAATGCTAGAATGACTTATATTGTGAAACGGAGGAAGTACTGATTTAAGATATGGATCATGTATAATTGAATATTTTGATTTTCAAAAGTATTACAAGAAAAGGTATCACGTCGTTACTAAATAACTATGCCTCGTGTATGCTGAATATTGTTGTCTTCTCAAAGTATTATAAGAATAATACCTCAATAGTTTTTCCATTAGAAGCAGTCACAATGTCACCAGGCCTCATGCCTGTGCCACTTATCATATTTTCGCATGCAGCAGAAATAAAATGAACCTGTGATCAGGGAAATTATTAGTAGATACACCATAACAAGTAAACCAGTGCTTGCTCACACAAGTAACTGAAAAGGGAAGTACCTCTACTCCAGGAGGCTTGATTTGGCCCAAAGCTTTTGCTGCACCAAACAATGCTGCAGAGCCACCCATATCTTTCTTCATCAGCTCAATAGTGGTGACTGCTCCAATCTTAATGTTGTAGCCCCCAATGCACACAAATTTCTGAATCAATTGTAAAAACTAACTTTATTTATTACCGATGTAGTAGAAAAAACTACCATTATGACAAGCATATTGAAAGTTTCTAAATCACATGTAAGAACTAATTAATACTATATATTTTTTTAATAGATAACGTCATTGACTTTTGGTGTCACATTTGACCATTCGTGGGTAAATATATCAAAATGTAAGTCATACTTAAAGTTCATTTAATAGTAAAACATGGTACAACAAAATAAATAATATTTTATTAACTTTTTAAATATGATGAATGGTCAAACATCCTGCAAAAAGTTAACAACGTCATCTATTAAAATATGAAGGGAGTATTTCACTGTAACAATCAACAAATTATCTAGAGAGAGGTAGAACCTGTCGAATGTGAGGCCCTTCCCAACAATTGCTAGCTTTCTCTTGACATTTCCTCCAGGGGGTTTGTAGCACAAGTGTATAAAGTGTGGAGGATTTGCAGAGGCTGCAGCAACTGCCAAGTACGAACCCATCTTCAGCTCCCTGCATTTCTCCTCGTCTAATATCGTCGCCGTCAACACGTCACTGTAACTAGAAGCAATGTTCGATGCCTCCTCCGCGAGAACAGCTGAAGAAAGAATCAAAGAGTTAATATTCAGATAAGCAGACATTGCAATGGAATCTATGCAGAAAATTCAGACAGTGTTTCAGTAGGAAGAATGCAGTGATTTACCAGGGGTAAGGACATTTGCAGGTGAGTTCACAAGCTCTTTGGCGAAGATCACGGCTGAGGAAACATGGTTGGCGTACTGAAGTTTCCTGCCCATCTCTTGGCCGGAGCCAAATCCGATAAGATCTACTTGCTTGAGATGCACCTTCTTGGAGTCAGACTTGTATCTCCTGTCCTCGTGCAACCCAAGCACAACTCCTGCAATCCGAAGAGGAAGTCAATCCAGCAGGTAATAGTACTACGTCTACATCTAAGTATCTAACAAAGAAAAACATGTCGTTTTGAATATGTTTCAGGTAAAATTTCTAGAATTCTGAAAAGTGGCGTCTACTTAATATAATATACATGGATTGGTTATGTGGAAACTATATATATGAACAGATTTACCTTGAAAAATACTGTCATAATAATGTTATAACTTATCTTGTTTTAAAACATTTTATTTTTTTTTATGATTAGCTTTTATAAACTCATATAGTTTAATATCATAATATTCATATTTTTAGACCCGTTATGAGAAATATTTTCATAATATACAATTAACATGTCGTTAAACTACATGTATTTTCAAAATTAAATGGGGGAAGTAGTTAATTTCAACGCTTATTGCGAATGGGTCCTAAAAAGATAACGGAAAAAGAAAAACAAGTGAAAGCAACCGGAGCACAGCACAGTACCAGAAGCCACTGCCGCAGCAGCATTCAGCCTAAGATCCTCTCCCTGAACCCAACCCGGCGGCGGCGAGGCGAGAGCAACGGCGGCGCTGCGAGCCTGCGCGGACTTGGCGACCGCCGCGATGGTCTCGCCGGTGCTCCGGCAAGCCGCAGCTGAGGACGGCATGTTGTTGCCAACGCCGACGAGGCACACCCTCTTGAAACCGTGGAGCCCCGGCGCCGTGGGGAGCCGGAGAGCCACCGACTGCCCGGCTCTCCCGGCGAACTCCTCCTCCGCCGACGCCTCCGACAGGAGGCCGCCGAGCTCGCCGTCGAGCTTCGCCAGCGCTGCGGCGGCGTTCGTGAACCTGGAGCTTGATGATGTCGCCTTGGACACGTCGGTCTCGGTCACAAGGACGGCTAGGATGTCTCCCTCCCACTCGGTGAGGTCCATGTCCTTGGCGGCAAAACTGATCTATAAAATTTAACCAAGAAAATTTGACCTCATTTTGTTTGAAAGATGACGCAAAATTTGTACGAAGAATTTGTCGAACAGAAATAAATGGAAGAAAACTTTTGCGAAGAACACTAAAATGATCTCATCTCGATCAGTGATTGTTTCAGAAACACTGCACTCCCTCCAGGTTGATTATAATTATCGTTTTTGACAAACACATAGTTTTCAAATAATAACTTTAACCACTATTTTTATTACAATATATATATAAATATCAATAAATATGTAATTTTATTTACCTACCTTCTAAAAGTAATCTATGCATATTCTACATATTTATAAGACAAATATTTTATTTGTTATTAATAGTTAAAATTTTAAAAGTTTGATAATACCCATCTCCAAAACGATAAGTATATATTCTCAGTCAAGAGCGAGAGTACTATGTCAAAGAGTGATCAAGTCAAAGAAAGTAGCAACTTGTTTTTCCGGGAGATAATTAGCATAAGTCACGCATGACGCACCTGAGGAGGATCGACGACGTTGGGCATGGTGAGGCCGAGAGTGGGGGCGGTGTGTCCTTCCATTCGAGCAACCCTACGACCAAGGGCGATCGATCGACCTAGCTATTGGCCGGAAAGTAGTTAGCTCCGGCGAGGTCGGTGGCGGCGGCGGCGGCGGCGGCGGCGATGTGTGTGGAATTGAATGGATCGGCTGAAGTGGTATGCTATATAGCGGGTGCAGTTGCGTCTGCAGACTGTACACGACACACTAACACACTGAAGGGAGTGAAACTAATTCCATGCTTAGTCGTCGTCTCTGACCATATCTGCAACGACCTTGGCCTGTGTAGGTGCCAAAGATTGCAGCAAAAAGATGGGAGTATACTATTCGAAGGCATTAATAATGCAGTGCCTTAATTTCTTGGATAAGGAAAATCCATCCGGTCAGGATGGCTGACTATTTCTGTTAACGATGTGTTCTCCCCATTGTCACAAATAAGTTGTTTTATTCTACGTGCGGTCAATCAGTATTTTCATTGTCACATGTGTTGATTACAGTTACCGAATAGTATATCTTTACTATATGTTTTTACTGATTTTAGTAAACAATAAATATTAATCAAACCAGTTTATTTTAATCGTGCTGCGACTCAAAACATCTCTGTTCTCTGTGGACAGAGATGGTATAGTAATCGAGGAAATTATGGATGCCCAGATTCTTCACGGCTGTATTTTCTTCCATGCACTACATTTTTCTTCAGTTCCATTTCATCATGCACATAGTTTGAAAAGTATAGCTACATGACATTCTGTGTAATGCATTATTGGTCATGAATATAAACATCGCCATCTATGACCAGACATACTAGCACAGTAGCACTAGAAATATGGGCCAACAAGGCTTGGTGGACGGGCGGAGACTATGAATTGAAGGGTAGGTTGAAGCAGGTAAGACCAGCTATGCTGCTCAGCTTACTACTGTTTCTCTTCTTGTAGTATTATGGAAATCCAATCAGTTATGTCAAACGTGATCAACCTGGCACCGATTCTAGAACTGGTGTTTCATTTTGACAAGATTGCATATAAACCACTCCAGTTGTTACTCTTGTTTTGAGAACTTTTCTCAAAAGCCAATTTGCTGCAATGGCCCGCCTACTCAAATCCCCTCCGAGGATGGAAATAGCCAAGCTAGATCTGTAGGACACGCTTGGTTTTCATATGCATCTGATTCGATCCGGACCCCCGATGTAGTTTGAAGAAGGAAGACGATCTCGAACAGCGATCAATAGAAACGAACAACCGTGATCGAGCTCGGTTTCCCCTGCTGTGGGTACACGTCGCCACAAATGGACTAATTCGGCTATTGGCATGCGTCGAGGGATTTGGGTGAGTGGGTCTTTGCAATAAGGCAAAATTTACCACAGGACACGAAAAAAACATGTAATTGGCTGGGAGACACCACGAAAACGTGATACGGCTGATGGACACAAAAAAAATATGTAATTGGCTGTAGGACACTACAAAAGAGGTGAGATATTTTTCTAAATACCCAGATTGCACTTCTCTTTTCTTCCTTTTCTCCAACTCGTTCCTTCTTTTCCCCTTCTTGTTGATTTCGCCGAGACGGCATAGCAGCCTCAAAGCCGCGGTGGGGCGAGGTCGGCGCGGCGTGGTGCGGCATCACCGGCGGCCGGAGCGGTCAACGGCATGGCGCGACCATGGAGGCGCAGTGTTCGGCCAAATCGATTGCGGGCAGGCGATGGCCGTGCCAGTGTGGCGAGGCGCGGCCGGGAGGCAGCACCAAGCGCAGGCGGGGAGGCTACGATGGGTCCCGGCGTCACGGCTTGGGTCCCGGCGTCACCACTGCTACGATGGCCAGTGCCCTCGCTCCCTTCGGTGCGCTTGACGAGTGCCGACAACGGCGGTGGGTTCAGATCGGCGCCGACGAAGGGGTGTGATCTCCCTCTCCGGTGCACCATTTTTCAGGGTCCTTGAGGGGATATGGAGAGGAGGATGAGCCGAAGATGCTGACACGACAGCTTGCCCGGCTTGGTCCAAATAAGTGGGAACGGCGATGATGTCACTACAGCGGTGCACAAAGCATGCTCCAGAGCTCCGGTGGGCACGGCAGCGTTCCCGTTGATTGGCTGCACGAATCGAGAGGTTGTCAAAGCGAGATTTGATCGGCATGGAGAGAAGATAATAGAACGTGAATTAGATAGGAACGGAGACAGCTCGTTGGTGATCGGCGACGTCCTCCTTCTCGATGGCCGATGACGAAAGATAGGTGGAGAGGGAGAGCTGGAGCTCTCTTCCTCGGTTTGCTCTATGTGGAAATGAAGTGGAGCAGATGGCGATGCAGTAGGGACGAGATGAAGACTCGCCTCGGCGTTTTGAGGCATTGACACGTCGTGCACACGCGTCGAACTCAGCCGACGCCGATCTCTCTCTCGGCTGTCTCTGGTCGATCTCTCTCTCGTCGCGTGCTAGCTCGTGTCGCTCGGCCAACCTCCCCCAAACACGACGAGCTGAGAAGGCTATTCTCCAGGTTCGTCAAGATCGAGAGGGAGAAGAAGATAAGGGCAAAACTGTCATTTTACATTGTTTCTCTCTCATCAATTGACCGAATATTATATTTTAATGTGTACAGTGTCCTGCAGCAAATTACGACATTTTTGGAGTGTCCTCGGGTAAATTCACGTCTTTAAGGTGTCCCACAGCTAATTACACATTTTTTGAGTTACTGTAGCAATTTTTGCCTTGCAATAAATTGACTTGGGAAGGAATTTTAAGACGAGAGTGACAATTGGGGTGGTTTATTAAAATTTGCATTTCCTTTTTTTTTTGCCATCTAGTAGTTCCATTTCTTAGGCTGTGTTCGTTAGTTTAGTTTTGGTGCACATGATTAATTAAATATTAATATTTTTTAGAAAAATAGGTTAATATGATTTTTTATAGCAAATTTTTTATAGAATTTTTTTTAAAAAAATACTAGACAGTAGACGTGCCTATTGGAGTGCGTGCTCTTTTATAACCTATATGAAAAGATCTGATGTAGACTTTTTTCTACTAATGAATGGATGAAGATGATATTAAAAAGAACAATGCTAGATATTAACCATCAAATGGACAGAAATGCTAGAAGGTTGATATTGGTGGGTAGTGCTAATGGGCGGGTGACCGTTGCCATCCCTCCCCTAACACAGCTCCTCCTTATTCTCTACTTACTGCACCATAATTTTTCTTTTAAAAAAAACAAGTTTAAAAATAGAAAACAAAACTAATATGTTTTATTCATGTGCATAGACTTTATACTTATATATATACTTTATACCGTAAACTTTCCGCATATAAACTTTATGTATATAAATATTCTATATAAAAATTATTTGAATCTAAATACAAATTTGAATCGGGTATATAAACTTTTACTTATAAACTTTGGGTCTACAAATTTTAAGTGTATAAAGTTTAGATATATAAACTTTAGATGTGTAAACTTAATGTGTACAAAGTTTAGGTGTATAAACTTACTAAAACATGAAAGTACTACGGTGTCAAAAAAAAAAAAGGAAATCATGTGGGGAGAGAGACCGATCGCTCGTTAGGATTTATGGATGTTGGTATTGTAGAGTGAGAAGATTTTCACTGCAATCGTTCTACCCTTTATCTACATAGCTTGGTCCTTCATGCATCCCATTGTTTCTTTATTGTTAAATACATTGCAATAACTATTGATATATGTATTGTTTTATCTATAATAAATGTGGTATTGCGCTTTTAAGATTATTGTGTCGATTGGTAAAGCTTTTGAACACGATAGACATCGTAAAGTGTTAGCAATGGCATGCATCATTTTGTCATAGGGCAGCGCAATTGGCCAACTTCCAAGGTCGACCAGTATTTTAGCAGTTCACCGTATTGCTATCACATTTTCTCAAGAATATAGGATTGTTTTTCTGCAACTGAAAATTTATTATTTTTCAAGATTTTCATCCATAAACATGCTAAAGCCTAAACTATAGAGTACTTAATGCAGGTGAGTTGGTGACATAAAGAGAGGGAGATGTTTTTACATCATGGTGGAGAAATCTTCGATGTACCCTACATATGCTTTGTAGCTTTGATCTAATTTTTATCATGTTGTTTAATTGATCTTTACTTTTTTTCCCTGATTTTTTGTTTCTTTATTTACAGCAATATCATTTTTTTCTCTCCTTTATTCTCGGCAAAAACTAACTCAACACATGGACTACGTTGGGTGGGCTGCTCTTGCGGCAGGTCTTGGCCCATGCGTGTGTACGCGCGTGATTAATCTAGAACGGCGACGTGACTGTGCGACGCGTGTGGTGAAAAATCTTGAAGGGCAACGGTTTCGCTATTTGTTCGTTTTTCTCCACGTGTCGCATGGTTGTTTAGCCCCCTCTCGACCAATCAGCTAGCGGCGCTTGCGGTCAGCTTTAGAAGAATAGATACCATTTAATGATTTGAAAAACGTGCATAACAAAGAAAATGAGTTGGGAAAATAGGGCTTAATAGCATGTCTCCCTCCTGCCTTTTTAGAAAATATGATATCAATATACATCTTAAATTTCGGTTAGTTTGATACTCTCGGTTCGCAACTGATGACATAATCTCCCTCTCAAAGAATATAAAAAAAACCATCGAATAAGAATTATACAATAGCTAATGGAGCAATAACAAATTTTTGGGAGGGTGGATCGGTTTTTCTTCAGAGTTTCTTTTAAAGAGATGGAGCTTGTTGTTTTTCTTGGGAGAAATAACAACTAATATTGATGGAAAATTTTCAGTCGTACTTTATTTGTTGTTAGTTAGTTGTGTTCCCTCTTTAATCCGAGACAGTGTTACTTGTGTTCCCTCTTTAATCCGAGACTGTGCTCCTGTCATTCCTTAACAAATATTTGGGGGAGCAAATCACACTTGAATTATCAGAGCCAGATGTTTAGGCATGCTATCTTCTTTTTTTTTTTATTTCAGCTTAATCTATCATTACGCCTGATCAGATCACCTCTGACGAGTTCAAACCTTCACCTTTGATGGGTTTAGGCGCTGTGTTCGGATTCCAGTGATGGGAACTAATCTCTCCCACGTGGAAAATGGAGCGGTCCATTAGCGCGTGATTAATTAAGTATTAGCTATTTTTTTAAAAAAATAGATTAATTTAATTTTTTTAAACAACTTTCGTATAGAAACTTTTTGCAAAAAACACATCGTCTAGTAG